GGGGCACTTCCCCCGTGGACCTGATAGTAGACTACAGTAAAAACCATACACATGATTACATTGGCTCTCAGGTCCAGGACACTCCCATATAAAACAAGATAATCCCTCCCCTGTGCCTGGGAGATAATTTAGTGAAGCACTGTATTAAACAAAATTATCTCCAGGCACAAAAAAAAACACACATTTCCCAAATACTCCCAAAGTACCTTAAAAATACATAAAACTTGAAAAAGCATGATTTCTGGGGGGCTGACCTTGGAGCAGAGCAGTCGCAAGTTACCACATTTCCTGATCCTGGTGGCGGTATCTATCGATTATAACCCAAACCAAGCGACTACTGACCTGCTACCAGCTGCCTGGATGCAAGGGGAAAGCAAACCCTACCTACTGATACCACACTTGCAGACCCTCGAGATGAACTCACCCAAGCGACCTACAGGCGTGGCTGAGGCGGGGGAGATGGCCACTCTCCCGCAGCGGCAAACAGAGGAGCTTTCAGGCAAGGATACCTGTCGTTCCCCCCCCCTATGAACCGGCGGGGATTATCCCGGTCCCCAGCGACAAGCAGCAGGTTTTCGCTTACACCCTTACTGCCTGCGAAGACCTGGGCATAACGCAAAGCGGGCCTAGCAAACGTGCCATGACACGAATGGCGCCTACAGATGCAGACCCCCGGCAACGACATGATCGAGCGCTCTCTCCGACGCATAAACAAGGCATTCCAGTGCTTCTGGGAGCAACTGGAACAGTGTATGGCCCTACAAGCGCCGGGGCATGTGCGGGAGGTGAGGAAAGCAGAGGAGAAAGGGCTGAGCGAGCCCCGCTTGGGCAGTTCCCAGCCTATAGCACACGCCACCCAGGCTCCCTGCCTACCTGGGCTGAAGGCAAAGTGGGGTAAACCCCCACAGCATCACCCACGATGCCGGAGGACCACCCGCCGCTGGCGACATCGCACCATTGGGGCCCTTCCTTCCTACAGGATTGGTTTGTCTGATTACTTACAAGATTAATTCACTAGAATTGGAATACCTGATACCCTCAAAGAATTAATGGTAATCTGGACCGCAGATTGCGAGAATGACGCAAGGAGCAGTATTCCTCCTCACTTACCACTAAACCTTCTAGTTCCAGCACCCTCATCTTACTTCTACTCCCTTTCTTCAAAAAAGTGAAGAAATTGAAGTAGGTACTTTTAGAGGTCCTTTAACTACAGAAGAAAAACTTGGAAATGAAGAAGAAAATTTAATCTTTGTATGTACTGTGCTTCAAAGGAACAGCTACTGGACACTTGTCCTCTTCTAAAGGATTCAAAGAGAGACAAGAAAAAACGTGAATACAACATATTGAATACATCTCCTAAAACAATTCCTCATTGTGTTGTTTCTATCATTTTACAATGGGATCTAGAAAGAATTCAAATTGAAGCTATTATTGATTCTGATGCTGCTGGAACATTTATTGACTCAACTCTAGTTTCAAAAAATAAAATTCCTCACATTCGAAAAAAGTCCTTTATCTCCATTAGAGTGGTTGATGGTTCAATCATTTCATCCGGTCCTGTTAAAGATGAAACAATTCCTCTAAAAATGACTACTGAAATTAATCACCATGAACATTTAAAATTTGACATTGTGAAATCACCTTTAACCCCTTAAGGACGGAGCCAAATGTACACGTTGTGAACGAAACAAAATGTAAACAAAACCTGGCATTTGCGCTACATGTCTGTCCAACCATAATTCAACTCTTTCATAGTAAATGCACCCACCCTTATTATATATCATTTTATTCAGGGGAAACAGGGCTTTCATTTGATATCAAATATTTAGCTATGAAACATAATTTTATATGAAAAAAATGGGAGAAAATAAGAATTTTTTAATTTTTTTTAGTTCTACATGACAATTTAACTGTCAATGTCATAATACTGTTCGTTTTTACTGCAAAATAATAAACATATTTGTATTCAGCAAAGTCTCACGTGTAAAACAGTACCCCCTATGTACACGTTTTATGGCATTTTGTCAAGTTACAGGGTTAAATATAGCACGTTACATTAGAAATTGAAATTCGCCAGATTGGTTATGTTGCCTTTGGGACTTTATAGTAGCCAGGAAGTAAATTTACACCCATAATGGCATACCATTTGCAATAGTAGACAACCCAAGGTATTGCAAATGGGGTATGTCCAGTCTTTTTTAGTAGCCATTTGGTCACAAACACTGGCCAAAGTTAGCGTTAGTATTTGTTTGTGTGAAAAATGCAAAAAAACACCAATTTTGGCCAGTGTTTGTGACTAAGTGGCTACTAAAAAAGACTGGACATACCCCGTTTGCAATACCTTGGGTTGTCTACTATTGCAAATGGTATGCCATCATAGGGGTAATTTTCATTCTCGGGCTACCATAGGGTCTCAAAGGCACCGTAACCAATCTGGCGAATTTTAATGTGAAAAAAATGAAACGCAAGCCTTATATTTGACGCTGTAACTTTTGAAAACACCATAAAACCTGTACATGAGGGGTACTGTTGTACTCGGGAGACTTCGCTGAACACAAATATTTGTGTTTCAAAACAGTAAAAAGTATCACAGCAATAATATCGTCCGTGTAAGTGCTGTTTGTGCATGAAAAATGCAAAAAACTTCACTTTTACTGGCGATATCATCGTTGTAATACATTTTACTGTTTTGAAACACTAATATTTGTGTTCAGCGAAGTCTCCCGAGTAGAACAGTACTCCCCATGTACAGGTTTTATGGTGTCTTGGAAAGTTATAGGGTTAAATATAGTGCTAGCCAATTAAATTCCCTTTACTTTCGGCATGGGTTGTCAGGCAGGTCCCTCTAATTGTAATTAATTAAGATACCTAATAATGTAAAAATATTACATAAATATATATGTAGAATTAATATATGGTATATATATATACGTATGTGAATCTATATGTGTATATCTATATAATTTTTTAAAAATATTTTTATTTATATATAGGTATATATATATAGTGATATATACGTATATATTTAAGTATGTAGATATATATATTATTTCGTTCTACGTGTATTTTGATATAAATATATATATATATATATATATATATATATTAATATCACAATACAGTTAGAACGAAATAACACATCTATATATTTTTCAATTATTTTTTTTTAATTTTTTTATTTTATTTTTTAACGTATTTACATATTAAATTTTTTATATTATATATAAATATATAACAATAATTATATATATATATTTATTCAGTATCAGTTTACGTGTAAATTGAAATTAATATATATATATATATAATTATATATATTAATAGTAAAATACACCTAGACGGTGTACGTGTGTGTATGTATATGTGTGTATATATACTTAGATCATATATATATAGTATATATATATATGATCTAAGTATATATATTTTTTTTACACTAATACATTTTATTTAAATTTTATTTTCAGCCAGCAGGGGGACCACCTGTCATTACAGGCAGCCCCCTGCTGGCAATGCAGGAGGCAGCCTATCCAACCATGTGATTGTGGGGTCCTCGCAAGGACCTCACTCTCACATGGCCGGGGGGCACCGGAGGAGGAGGATCTACCGCGGGGGGGCTCCTTGGGAGTCCCCCCCACCGCGATCGCCGGCGTGGGACCGCCGGCGACCGGGTAAGTAGGCAAAAACCGGAGGGTGTACAATTACGCCCGGCGGCGTTTAGAGCCGCCTAAAATAGGGCGTAATTGTACATCCTCCGATCAGAAGGGGTTAAGCTGAGTCTTTACCTCCCCATAAGATATATGACTGACTTTCTTCCTGGCGCTGCCATACCTTTTGGGTCTATATATCAACTTTCTGAGCCTGAGCTAAAGACTCTTAAAGAATACCTCGAAAAAAATATGCGCAAAGGATTTATTAGACTTCCCACTTCCCCCACTGCATCTGCTATATTCTTTGTAAAAAACAAGAATAAAACTATTTGTCCCATCATTGATTACCATGCGCTAAATAAAACAACTGTAAAGATATCCACGTCAATTAATTCCTGAACTGATTAAACAACTAAAAACAGCAACCATCTATATCACACCTGATCTTCATGGAGCATACAACTTAATCAGAATAAAAGATGGACATGAATGGAAAACTGCCTTTTGTACAAGATAGGATTATATGAATAACTGGTGAAGCCATTTGGACTTTGCAACACTCCTCCACTTTCCAAAATTGTATTAATGATATATAACAAAAAATACCGCACTCCAAAATATTGTTATATACAAGAAAAATTGATGAGTAAGATTCTATTCAATATGCAAGAAAATAAAATGTAATAGAATATACACTTAATGTCTAAATTCATATATCTACACATAGCAGTCTGATGATCTCATTCAATACATGAAAATTCATCAAAAAAATGGATAATAAATCACTTATCCTATAGATACTGCATTGAAATGAGTTCCTGAGAAAATTAATCTATGTTACAAATCTATCCACACATCCTAGGCTATGCACAACAATCTACTTGTCTAGTGTATTGGTGGATCCATTCCTTACAAAAAATAATGTATATACAAAAAAACAAAAAATGTATATAGTGCAACCAATTTTGAAAAAAAGAGAAAAAAGAAAAAAAGGGTAAAAAAAGAAAAAAACGAAAAACTTGAAAAAGGTGAAAAAAGTGAAAAAAAGTCCTTTGTGAGTTCACTACATACGTATACAGTGTAAGTATGGTTGGATCTCACCACTTGGGATGTTGCAGTCAAACATTCAGACGTGCAACATCCCAAGTGGTGAGACTGGGCTTGTCCTTAGACGACATAAGACGACATAAGTGTATGTTAGACATATGTCCTCCATCCATGCCATAGCAGTGAAGTGTGGATGATAGTTGAATAAACCTCGGGCGGCTGTGTAAACCTCAGGCGGCTAAGTAAAACCTCGGGCGGCTAAGTAGTCCTCGGGCTGCGCGCTTGGGATGTGATGTCCCTTCAATGGCCCTTGCTTGTCCGCTGGAAAAAATTCACAGAGACGCAGTTGATTATCAGAAAGATCAGGTTTATACCTGGTATCAAAGGACAGATAATAGACAGTACAGACCAAATAAGAACATACAAACACGCAGATGGCGCTCAGACACGGAGGGAGATACATCCTCCTCTTCTGTTTCCTCATCATCAAGGACCACTTCTTTTAGAGAGGGATACACGATACGAAGACCAATCAGGGGGGGGGTTATAACAAGAGGCACGATCGAGAGAAAGAAAGGGAGACCACCCTTATCCAGACGCCGTCCCTGATATACAATATTTCAGGTAGGCAACTGACACAAGAAGAAGAAAACACCTTAAATAAAGGACTTTCCTTTATTCCCACTCTGAAAATACACTGGCTTGAATACGATGTTAGTCTGTACAAATGTTTTCATCAATTAAAATTGCGGTCTTTTTTCTCCACAGATACTAAAACCTCTGATACAATAGCCAGACAAGCTGGCCCATTGAGAGACATCAGTCCCTTGACCATTACATCACAGTCATTTACTCGGGAAGAAGAGAACACAGACGTCACTTCTTCACAATCATCTCAGGGTGAACAGGATCTGACACTTTCATTGAACACAGGTCTGAAACCCAAGAGTACGTTTACCCCACATGGTGTTAATGCCTCAATAGATATATTTACTAATCTAGTGAAGAGAGATGTTTTCAAATTAAGAAAAAAGTACAATCATACACGTAGAGGCAAAAGAACTAATATTAATTTCACTCAACGAGATTGGTCAAATATCAACAATTTAAAAATGGATAAATCCATTATGATTAAACCGGCCGATAAGGGGGGTGCCCTTGTGATTATGGACCGTTCATATTATATCAAAGAAATAGAAACTCAGTTGAGAGACACTAGGAACTATTCATCCATTACACAAGATCCAACACACATTTGAAGTGTACATTAGACACACTGAACAAGTGTGATCCAAGGGTATTATCTCGGAGGGAGAATACAGATATACGAACATTAAACATCCTATAATTCCGGTATTTTACACTCTGCCCAAGATTCATAAAAATCCCCTATTTCCTCCAGGTAGGCCCATAGTAAGTGGGACAGGCTCCTTACTACAACAACCAGCTGAGATTTTGGATAACTTTCTTATTAAGCATGTATCCTTACAAAAATCCTACATCAAAGACACTACGTCATTTCTTAAATTATTAGATAACATCCAAGTGCCAGAAGGAGACTTCTGGCTGGTGACAATGGATGTTCAATCCCTATACACCTCAATTGATCATCAGAGAGGATTGGAGGCTGTAAATTGGACATTAGATAGAGATCTGAACCTCTCACAGCAAAGAGATACTAGAAAATATATAACTGACTTGTTGAGATATATTTTCACTGAAAATTATTTCCTTTTTGGAGATAATTATTACAAACAAATCAAGGGTACAGCTATGGGCTCTAATGTCGCTCCGACATACGCCAACATCTACATGAATCAAATGGAAGAGACGTGCATTTATAATCATCCTCTCTACACCAAGTGTGTGGTGTGGAGACGCTACATTGATGATGTGTTCGTGTGTTGGAGCGGCACTAGGGCCCAGTTACAGGATTTTTTTAACTCATTAAATGAACAGGACCCCTTTATCAAGTTTACTATGGAGTGCGACAAGGTGACAGTCCCATTTTTAGATGTCCAAGTATACCGATTAGATGACCGACTATACAGTGACCTTTATATTAAACCTACTGATCGGAACAATTTACTGTTGTATGACAGTTATCACCATACACACTTAAAGAAAGGCTTACCATTTAGCCAGTTACTCAGGGTTAAAAGGATAATCTCACAGGAAGAGAAAGTGATGACAGGATTAGACTTTATATCTCAGAAATGTATGGAAAGGGGTTACCCGGCACAAATCATAAAACACAGAAAGAAAAGGATCAGCATCTTAAACGCCAAGAGATTCTATACTGCCCATCTAAAAAGAATAAGATGGACAGAATAGCGTTCATATCTCCATATACTCCGATTAACAGTGATATACGTAGTATTATTATGAAACATTGGCAACTTTTTGCTGGGGATACAGAATTGCCCTTAGAATTTCAGAATCCACCACTCTTTTCATACCAATGGGCTCCTAATCTTAGAGATCTATTAGTCAAATCAGACATTGGTAGTTCAAAAAGGCAGACTACATTTTTCTCAGAGCCGAAGAAAGGCACGTTTCCCTGTTTAGGTTGCTCACATTGTAACAGTGTGATCAGGGGTGAACATTTTGTTCATCCCCGATCAGGAAAAAAAATTTTAGTTAATGGTTGTAACGGACCGTTTTGCACAAAAGGGGAAAAAAACGCTTAGACGATAATCCCCCTTTCAGAGACAGGCACAGCTACTGTAGAATCACCAAAACTCACGAACCGCCAATAAGTGAATGCTCCAAACTCCCGAACGGCATACAAGGGAATAAGGTAGCACTTCAAATAAACGAACAGGAACCATACGAATAGCTGCTAGCAGGCGAACAGGAAAAGCTTCCAAGCGGCTTACACTCCTGGCAATCAGTCCTTAGCAGCATACAGTAAATCCCCCCAAAGACGAGACAAGGCTCCGTGTTGAGGGTCAAGCAGTGGTCTGAGGTGCTGGCACACCCAGCCTGGTTTTTATTACAGTCTTGCAAATACAGGACCGCCCACAGGGAGGTATAAAACAACCAATCACATCACAGTTACATCCCACATATTCCCTCCCCTTATCCTGAGAGGAAACTCAATTATACATACAGTTAAAACATACTTTCTACCCAACTTTCATAACTCTAAAACCATACATCACATTCACATAAAATTACAAATACACAATCAATCCATTCAGGGGAACAACATATTAAAAAATGACATGAATCAGACCAGGGGTTCAAAAGTTAGTAAAAAGTCCTTTGTGACTAAATGAAGCATGGCTTTCTGGCCCAAACCAGTTTCAGAGTCTTCTATCCTGAGAGTAATTCAATTATCTCCCAGGACAGACACAAGACTCCATTAAGCACATGGTTGCAAAAAGACACAAAACACTTTAAAATACATAAAGTCACATTTATTACATAAAACACAGACATGTAACATATCCCCAGATAGCTCAGGTCCGAGCGCACATTATTAAGCGAATGGCGCTCAGACCACACGAATACAGTTTAATCGCCATGGAGCCAAAGTCTTTACAGTCAGTTTCATACGAATGGGCTCCATGGGATTCCTATCTGGGGTATAACACATTCAAACAAATCTACCGAACCCCAGGCAGAAAAGCACGAATGAAGCTTTTCTGCAGGTAAAAAAAGATGTCTTTTAAAAAGGGGCCATAGTCCAAAGGCAGCAGGCGAGCAACCAGGCTTCTCCAATGCAATGTGGCGAGATTGGTCTCGTCACAATGGTTTTTACACTTGTAATTCTGATTTTGTAGTGTACATCCTTAAATGTCCTTGTGGATATTTATATGTGGGGGAGACCATCAGACCCGTCAAAGAGTGGATAGGGGAGCACAAGAGAAGTATCAGGGTAGCTCTACAACGAGGTACCAGTGAGGCCCCGGTAGCCAGACACTTTAAAACACAGGGCCATGGAGTTAACCAATTAAGATTTCAAGTCATTGATAGAGTACCTCCCCTGAGAAGAGGTGGTGACAGACAAAAACTTCTTATGCAAAGGGAGACTAAGTGGATCAGCATCCTGGAGACGCTGTCACCCTCAGGACTGAATGAGGACTATGACTTGAAACACTTTTTGTGAACTATATTATTTTATTTAATACTTGACTATGGGCTGATTTATACCTTGTGCTCTCTACAGTGCTCCCACCAGACGACTTTTGGTCCGATCCTCTTTCCCGGCAACATCTTGACTTTAGTAGGTCCGCAACCTGGTTGGATCTCTCCAGGGTCCCCCACAATAAGTATCCCGAGACAAAGGGTGACACTGCACGACTGGTAAGTCTGTATGTGAAGGATTACTGTTAATGATGGATTTTTTATAATTTTTTATTCTTCTCTTTTCCTTTTTTATTCTTTTTTGTATTATGCATCTTTTTTTACAGGTTACAAATTGTTGTGTCATAACAATCAGCAATATTTGTGTATCCTTTATTATATATTTTTCATTTTTTACTTCTTATTATTTAAGTTTTATCTTTTTCCTTTTTCTTTTCCTTTCTTTTTAAGTAACCCCTGACACCCTGCTACAGGTGAGCAATTACTGAGTAACTTCGATTATGAGATATAACCTTGATGAATTTCTGTATATTCCCATGGCAAATATATATATATAAGATTTTGATTGACTTTGGAGTTTGAGACTTTGAGAAAAGAACATATTTTTATTTAATTTAATTTACTTTTGGTTATGAACAGTTCCCTGCTTTTTACTAATTAATGAATTAATTTAATATGATATATAAAAAATTCTTTTGATTTTAACAATTTTTTGCAATTTGTTCCATCCTGGAATTGTGTTACTAGGATCTCATTTACATATACTCTTTTTTCTTAAATATAGTCCTTTGGAGCAACTATTATTGATAATTGTTCTCTGTATATTATAAGTAACAAAGTTCGTTGTGATTAACATTGTTGTTAAGATTATAGTGTCAATAAAGTTTATTTCTCATTTTGCATCACGTTCCGTATCAGGATGACGTCATTACGTCAATACGGAAGTGGAAGGACTTTTTACCGCCGGAACCGGCATTTAACGAGCGTTCTCCAGCGGACAAGCAAGGGCCACTGAAGGGACATCACATCCCGAGCGCGCAGCCCAAGGACTACTTAGCCGCCCGAGGTTTTACTTAGCCGCCTGAGGTTTACACAGCCGCCCGAGGTTTATTCAACTATCATCCACACTTCACTGCTATGGCATGGATGGAGGACATATGTCTAACATACACTTATGTCGTCTAAGGACAAGCCCAGTCAGTGGAATACTTACAGTGCACGTCTGAATGTTTGACTGCAACATCCCAAGTGGTGAGATCCAACCATACTTACACTGTATACGTACATAGTGAACTCACAAAGGACTTTTTTCACTTTTTTCACCTTTTTTACGTTTTTCGTTTTTTTCTTTTTCTTTTTTCTTTTTTTACCCTTTTTTTCTTTTTTCTCTTTTTTTCAAAATTGGTTGCACTATATACATTTTTTGTTTTTTTGTATATACATTATTTTTTGTAAGGACTGGATTCATCAGTACACTAGACAAGTAGATTGCTATGCATAGCCTAGGATGTGTGGATAGATTTGTAACATAGATGAATTTTCTCAGGAACTCATTTCAATGCAGTATCTATAGGATAAGTGATTTATTATCCATTTTTTGATGAATTTTCATGTATTGAATGAGATCATCAGACTGCTATGTGTAGATATATGAATTTAGACATTAAGTGTATATTCTATTACATTTTATTTTCTTGCATATTGAATAGAATCTTACTCATAAATTTTTCTTGTATATAACAATATTTTGGAGTGCAGTGTTTTATTTTTTGTTGTGTATAGATTGTTGAGGTTACATAGAAGGGGGAATACCTCTAAATACCGGCACCATTGAGTAATTGAGTGCAAACACTGCC